AATCTTGTCATGTAATCATACTATGCAGCTAATTTGGTGCAATCTGATAAATCGTACGTACGTGTGTATGTATGATGTGCATAATATATAAAGATTTTGAGAAGGAACTGCCTGTATGCCTCTAAGTCAACGCTATGTGCACAAAGGGTCAATAGAGGTTTCATTGGCTTTCAAGAACTTGCCATTTTGTCAATACCATTGATGGAAATTCAGACTAACAAAGGGGGAGATCGTGCAGTCTTCATCACTAGTACTTTGCAGCAGCACGCGCAGGAAAGAGACAGGGTTGGCTATGGCTTGGGTGACCTCTCTCTCTCTCTTAGGGATTTCAATATGCTCCGACATATTTTAAGTTGAGACACTGTAATTTGGCCGCTATAGTTTAGGGTTTAGGATACTCTTGAGCACCCCGATGTTAGAATACTCCAAAGCATAATAAAATTTTCGCCCTCTCTCATTCTTTCTTTAAAATTAGGTCTAAAGCCTAGTCTTTATTGTACGGAATATATGTGCATGGGCCTTGCTAGCTATCGGTTTCACCAAACAAGTAAACGAAGTAGCTAGGAATTGTAATGATGCTCTTGAACTCATATCATGCTCTGTTTGCTTTTTGTATTCTGCGAGCCGTTTGGTTAAATTTCATGCAATTCTTTGACAACAACCATTTGAACCTGCTCGGCCTAAACTGGATATATTTGAAAACGAAGGGCGAGTGTTAAAGTTTCTAGTTGTATACCAATGAAATGAGGACTATATATCATGGTTGGATAACAAAATATCTGGTAGACTTAGTTATAGTTATATTCATAATTATGTGATTTTTTTAAATGTAAATTAAAAAAAATTAATACATATGTATTTCTTTGGACAAAATATAATGTCCTGTATTGCATTTTACGAGTCCAATATCCAATGGCCAAAATATCATTGTCGTGATTAGAAAAACCGTCTTTTCTCATGGTTTTGAGAAATGATTTAACAATTTAACTAACGTAGTACTTGCTTATCATTCTCTTCAATGACAACTACGTTGAGCTTGTAGCAGGAATAGGATCCTCTTAGGATTCCTTCCATACGGATTCACGGAGTCCTTCAAATCTATTCGTTCAATAAAAAATCGAACGGCTAGGAACTAATTCTCTGTTCACCTGCACCTTCACTTTTTCCTGTTCATCTTCTACCATCTTCACCTTCTCATGTTCATCAATTTCCATTTTTTCCATGTTCATCTTCTTCTCTTTTCTCCATCTCTCTCTCTCTGGCTTCAAAATTATAGGATCTGAAGAGAATCGCAGTCCTTTGTAGCAAAATTCTTGGTTTTCATGTATTTGTTGTGTATAAATTACAGCACACATTATTTGTTCCATTGCTTTTATCATTAAGATAGAATTAATTAGGATGCGGAACCAAATTATTTGAGAAGGTATAATTCTACATTATCAAAAATTTGATCATGCTCATAAATTGGACTTGTACGCCCAACAAGATCGTTCATCAAATGTTGTGACCGTCTACCATTTGTTCAAATTTCAGCTTCCATCACTCTATATATGCTTGAATAAATTATTTTACAGAGTACATCACACATTATTTGATACGAAAATTTAATAAACTAATTAGCCATGTTAGGCTAAAATTATTACTTTGATAATCATAAGAAACCTATACCAAATTTTATTTTTTGGTCCAGACATGATCTAGTGTCATCACATCCTAGATTTTGCATGTGCCACAAATTTAGAAAACATACCATCGCAATCATGGTACCAATATTATATATGTAATTAAAGTTTTAAGGTAACGCTGAACAACTATTGCTTTCCAATATTTTCATGTTCATAGGCTACTATTTTGGGGAAGACAAAAACACTTTGAATAAACAAATATACAAATTGAGTTACCTCAGCTAGTCAGGCATATTTCTGAAGTGATTGGTTAGTCGACATGGTACACTAACCATAATATGGCAAAAATATCAACATTAATCAACTGTGAATATTGATCAAAATAATCAACTGTTAAATGGGTACTAAAGCAAATAAATGAAAGAATCTTTTTATCTTTAACTACTTTTTCATTAACAATATATCTTTAACTCCTTCACCTACCTTTAGCCACTTGATTAACATTTGAAATGGAAAAGCATTAAAACAATCTTTCTTTTTGGTGACCAATTATGTGATAAAAGAAATATCAGTTCATTTGTGATAGAGAAGTCTCTCTCACGAAGTTCAGTTTTTATTGTATATGAGTTTTATACGGTCAAAAAAGTAATAATTTAATAAGGTAAGATAACACTACAAGTAATATTTTTCTCCACCAAACGAAAGATACACAAAACCTACCCATAGTCGCTATTTAGCACGTATGATTTGTAAGAGATTCTTACATCGAATTGATGATACTGGCTTTGTATATATTCACAGTTATTATTTTATGAAACACGTTATGAAAGGTAGATGTAGATACAAGATGACATTTCCTCGGTCGCACAATAGAATCTCTCAGACTTGTGACGGTGCAAAGACAGACAACATATGAAACCAGACACTCAAGGGAAAACCATGGACTGGAAAAGAGAAACCCTATCCAGGATTTTTTGAATACTGTCTGCAACAGCAGATCACCTGGTGATCTCAACCCTTGCTTTTAGGACACCTGTCTCAATCTCATCAACTATTGAAGAGCGTATGGAACCAAAGCACAAGGGCAAACCCATGGTTTTGGGGCAGCTTTGTCCCAAACCAGTTACAATTTCCACTCCCAACTCAAGAGAAAGTGAATTTCATAAAAGGTGGAATAGTAAAACTCAAATTTTAGGTTCTAAATTTATCTTAACTTGCTTAAATTTTTGGGTTAAATATGAGTTTTAACTCAAAACTCATTTTTGAAGCAAATTTCGCCCAAAATTTCTCCTGAGTTAGTAGACTGATCCACCATACATTTGTATTTTTTTTAGTTTTATTATTGAATCCAACTGCTAAGCTCTCATATGATTAAATCCAACACTAAAAAAAAAAAAGTCTAACGGTCCACATTTAAATTCAATGGTTAAATAATTAAAAAAAAAATCTTTCATATGCTTCATATTCTTTCATCATGTTCTACGAGTTTCATGGTCATAGTTTAGTGATTTTTCAAAATTTATCGGAATCTAAATATTTTTAGATCAAAATGTTCATAAAATTAAATTAGGTAGTCTACATAATTTATTTTTAAAAAAAGTTACTTTAAGAAAAAAAATATTTTAAATTCATTCTTTTAATAATCTCGGGCTAAAAATTTAACATCAGAAGAGTTTGAGCAGAAAAACTGTTTCTAAGTTAAAAATTAATTTTCAGGTTAAAAATTTTAAGTTTTAACTCAAGGGTTGAAGATGATTTAAATAAAATAACATGCAATACTTAGAAAATAAGTCTTATATAGATTCGTGGGTCATCTTAGTAACACCAAATGGTTAATATAAGAGCATCTCCAGTAGAATTGTTAAATTTATTTTTATAACTAAATATAAATTAGCCAGTAGGATTTCCTTGTTCTAAGAGAGTTGTTACTCAATTTCAAATTTAGGACTTGTACTACACTTCTTGATTTAAAGAGTTTCTAACCAAGTCTTTAAACGATCTTTTTATTATAATAATGTGTCTTTTCTCAACATCTCTATTACAAAACAACAAAAAAACGTGAGACCACTTGTTTCATATTAGGTACTATATAATATATAATATAATATCAAAATCTATACAGTAACAAAATTGTGGAGTGGCAAATTTTACTCTTTAAATTGCCACGTAGGTCAACAAACTCATATTTGAAGAGTTATATTTATGGAGGTTGTTGGAGAGGCTCTATGCTTTAATTAAGCATTGTAGGTCTCAAAAACCTTTCACCTGGAGAGAGATTTTTTTTTTATTTTTATATATAAGATAATGCTAGAGATACTAAATTTGTAAATCAAATTTTGTAAACTAAATGATACGAAAGTTAATGATTGAATTATTTAAGTGTTGATTAACGAGATTATTTCTTATTGGAAATTAATCATTTAGTTTGTAAATTTATATCTACAAATGTAGTCTATCTAACATTATGCTTTTTCAACCACAGCAAGTGGCCTAGTGGTAAGGGCACTGACTGCAGCTCTCCAATAAACAAAAAAAATGTAAGAGGTCCGGGGTTCGATCTTCAAGCTGGTGAGTCTTGATTGTGGCCACAGACATGGTGAAATTCTTCATAGCCTCTTTGGATCCATAAGGGGTGAATAAACCTGGCTTGCCATCAGTGATCAAAAAACTTTGACCAATGTACCTTGTAGCTCGTACTGTTTGTTGACCATAATTCATGAACCTAGTTACCATAGAGAACATATCGTTAATATATATATGAATAGTTTTATGTTTGTTTATTTCTCTTGTTTGAGACACGTTGTGAATATAGAATGTTACTTTACAGTGAAAAGAGTTGGACTGCTTTTTTAAAAGAAAAAAAAAATTGTTATTAGCACTCCAAAAATCTCATGTGGCACTCCAAACTTTCTATAATTAGAAAGAAAAATACACTTGTGAGAAGTATATAATGAGATTTTTGGAGTGCTAAAAACAGTTCAAAAAAAAAAAAAAAGCATTACACTTTTTATATAACAAAAATTTAGTTACAATACCGTCTAATAAATATTTATCACATGTTTAAAAATATATTATTTGTCAAATATATAAGGGAATTGTTATTATCATTCCAAAAACCTTATTTGGCACTTCAAACTTTCTATAATTAGAAAGAAAAATACATTTGTAAGGAGTGTAATATGAGATTTTTAGAATGCTAATAATAATTCTCATACATAATTGTAAAGAAATAAATTAGTCTCTCTCCGTACTTAGTTCACATTGGTATCCTCAACCATCATTTGGTTTACCCAATATCCCAGACAAAACCATGGGCACTTTGAGAAACAAAAGCCAAAGAACCAACCAACCAACCAACAACCAAAGGTGAAACTGAAAACAAGCGATTCTGACCCCAGAATTCAGTGAAACCATCTAACTCCCTCACAACACCTGTGCTTCCTGAATCCTTATAAATATCCACCCAAGTCCAACATTTCAGTTCATCCAGTGTTTCAGAAACCTTATTCATTCGCTTCGAATTTCTTCAAGTACCCTTTTTTACAACTAGCTAGTTATTCTCCTACAATGGCAAAAAACATGGCTCAGTCTCCCTTTGAGAAGGCCTCAATTGACAAACTAGCCATGGCTAAGCGTTGTTCTCATGGTATGCTTATGTTTTCTTTTCTTTTTGGTTCCGTTGCAATCATTTCTCTCTTTTAATTTCTTCATCTCTTATCATGCAACAAATACATTGCATGATAAGGGAAGTAAAGACAAAGTAATACAACATGAAGTAACTAAGATACTTTTTCCCTTTGACCAACTTGATTTATATATGCATTTTATTAATTATTTGTTTTTGTATTAATTATGAGAATTATTATTGGCACTCCAAAAATCTCACTTTGCACTCCAAATTTTCTCTAATTGGAAAAAAAAATACATTTGTGAGGAGTGTAGAATGAGATTTTTAGAGTGCTAATAACCGTTCCTTTAATTATTGGCTAAATTTAAATTAATATGGTTTTTGAATTTGTTGTGTGGTGATTCATGATGTTAAGCATCATGACCTTGAGCCAATGAGCAGCTATACAGTTGCAGACTGAAAACTGATATGCTAATTATGTGATTAAAATTTTCCATTAAAAAAAAATATATATGTGATTAAGATTTTGTATTATTTCATGTAAATGGTCTTTTTCTTCTGAAAATGGATAAAGTATATAGGGCTTCCTTTTTTATGGAAATGGATTCTCTCCTGAGCATCTGCTAATCTAACAATTACAAACAAGAGGATCCTTTTAAAGTTATAATAATTGTAATCGTTCGATTTTCATTCAACGGCCTTTGTGTGTGGATCATTAGGATCCTGAGCAGATGCTCAGGAAAGAATTCATTTCCCTTTTTTAGTGGGGGACCATACTCATAGCCATATATCCTAAGATTTTTATTTAATCTTCTTTTCTTTATATACTTAAGTAATTCACTTTTACAATTTCTTCTGGGACTGTAATTATTTTTCACTGTTAATTGGATAAACAGAGGGTGCAAAAGCAGGAGCTAAGGCAGCTGTTGTTGCCACCATTGCCACTGCTATTCCAACTGTAGGTTTTCAATCTCATCATATTTCAGGCTCCATAAATTAAAAGTTATACTGTTTTAGGGTTTACATCAAATTTTGTATGTGCTTAATATATATGCAGCTGGCTAGTGTGAGGATGCTACCTTGGGCCAGAGCCAATCTCAATCCCACTGCTCAGGCCCTCATAATCTCCACAGGTTTTCTTCAATCCTTTCCCTAATTTTCCACATCATAATCTTCTTAAAAACTTATTAATTACTGCCTTAAATATCATTATAACTAGTTTATAATTGAAAGAAAATATTGTTAATTTGATGGCGTGCAGTGGCTGGAATGGCATATTTCATTGTGGCTGACAAGACTATTTTGGCAACTGCAAGAAGGAACTCATTCAATCAAGTGGCTCGCCATGAAGCATGAATTAATCACTAACTAACTAGGGTTTATGCTCCTGTTGCTGCATGCCTGTGAACCCATATCTTTAAATATAAATAAATAGAGATGGGTTTCAATATCTAATAGCACTAGAGTGTTTATGTACTAAATTTTCAGCATTAATTTATCAATGCAAATTTTATAAAGCTTTTGAGAGGGAACTGCAGTACTTAAGCCTCCAAGTCAACGTACGGTATATGCATGAAGGCGTCAATAAAGGTTTAAGTGATGAGGAGATCACTATATTTTAGCAATACGAGCACAAGCAACTTCTATTAGCAGAAAAGAGTCAATGTTAAGCTATGGCGAGGATACCTATCTGTCTCTTTCATTATTTCTTTAAATTAGGTCTAAAGCCTCTCAAAGTGTTGTATTTGTATGACTTCTTCAGGTTTTTTACCAAATGAGAAGTTATAATATATACTCATGAATTTCATATGGTCACCTCGATCTGTTTGCCTTTCGGGCTTCTGCATGGCGATTGTTTAAGTTTCATGCAAATCTTTGACAAGAACGATTTTGTATCTGCTCAGGCCTAATTAACTGGATATATTGAAAGCAAAGGGCCAGTTTGGAAACTTCTAGCTGGCTAATTTATAAACCAGGGAAATGGGTACTATCATTGGCCAAAAGAACAAATATTTGGTAAACTAAATTCAAAATTGTGTGGTTTACAATATAAATTTATGAGAACGCTGAACTGCTGTTGCTTTCACATTTTCATTTTCATAGGCTACTATTTTGGGGGTTGACCAGAAACACAGAAATTTTGAATAAACAAATACAAACTGAGCTACCTAAACCCTTAGTCGACTTGGTACGTTGTTGATATTAAGACAAAAATATCAACATTAATCAACCCTAATTGTTACAAAAGAATCAAACTAAGAATCTTTTTACCTTTAACTACTTTACCAAAATGATGAGCACTAAGTTAATGGGGGCTACATCTTTCGTCTTACGGGTGTAAAACAATTTATGTCTACATTTTTCCTGACGTGATTGGCTATGTGTGAGAGAGAAAAAGACATGGATGCGTTTGTGAAGAAACTTTTTTCTGTAGGTCAAGTCTAACTGTATGTAATTGGCTTGAAATGCTGTATGTTATATTGACATTCTCAATCACAGTAGTTATAAAAAAGCGTCTCTCATGATACAGGGGTTTGTTTTTATTATTTTTATTGGCCATCGAGTTTGATGATGAGGTAGATTGAGTTGGTAGCTCGATTTTCTATGCTACGTACTGCCTCTGCCTTATTACAAGTAAATATTATCTCCGTCAGATGGAAGTTGAAACCACTACCACCCCACAGTGGCTACTGTGCACTGCCTTTTGGCGGTGCAAAGACGGACGACTTATGAAACCAGACCACTGGCCGCCCACTCAAGGAAAAAACCAGCAACTCGTGAAAAAAGATCAAAACCCATATTCCAACATTTTGAATGCTAGCCTGCAACAGAAGATCACTTGATGATCTCAGCTCCTGCTTTTGGGACACTTGTCCTAATCTAATGAACAATTGATTTGCATGTGGAACCAAAGCCCTTTTGTGCACCCATGGTTTTTGGGCAGCTTTGCCCAAACCAGTAGCAATTTCCTCTGAGATAGAGATAGTGACTCGAGTGATGCACAAAAGTCATCTACACTTTAAATATGTAAAATAAAACAAGAAAATGTACTTAATAGAAAATTGTAAGAATCTTTTAGAATGAGATTAACAGCTCTCTTAAAACGTGCTATGTATTATGTTTTCGACAGTTGAAAGTTGAAACTCTATTTTCAAGTCGAATTTTTGTAATAATTATAATTAGATTTATTAGCATAAGTTGCAAAACTGGAAAAATAAGTCATATTTTTAGATTCGTGTGTCAGCTTATGCTAACACCAAATGGATAAGGTGCAGATCTCAAAGCCCCTTCCCCTGATCGAATCTCCATGAATACATTGAATTTACACTGATACCCTCATTTGGATCATCTAAGTATCCCTGACAAACCAAGGGTATTTGGGGGAGTAAGAGAAAAAGAAACAAACCAACCATAGCCCCAAAAAAAAAAAAAAAAAAAACTAATGAAAAATGTTTGAAAACCTTAAGTTTTAACGATAAGGATAAAATAAAAGATAAAATGAATAGCACCAGAATTAACTTTTTAATATAAAAATATAATTTTTTGTTAAAATAAACAATACTGGTTTTCATTAAAGTTCCTAGAAAAAAAAAATGAGAACCAATGATGAAACTAATGACAAGTGACTCAGACCCCGGAATTCAGTGAAACCATCTAACACTCTCACGACACCTGTACCCGCCCAGTCCCAACCAGCTAATGCACCAAAATCCTTATAAATATCTACCCAATATCCAACACTCTAATTCATCCATAAGATTCAGAAAAACCTTCTCATTCACTTCTGACTTCTTAAAGTTACCATTTATTCAGTTACCAATTTACCACCAGCTAGTCTCTCTAACAATGGCAAGAAATCTGCCTCAGTCTCCCTATGAGAAGACCTCAATTGACCAGTTGGCCTTGGCTAAGCACTGCTCTCGCGGTATGCTGATGTTTCTTCTTTTTTGTCTCCTATTTCAGTAATAAGTCTGTTTTGTAACTAGTTGTATATCTTATTTTATTCATCTTTCTTATAACGTGATTAGTTTAAGTGATGAGGTATAGACACAAATTAATACGACTCTAAATAGCTAAGATACTTTTCTTTTTGACCAACTTGATATATATGCATTGATAGTATTAACTCTTACCATTCGTTGGTGACTGAATCTGCAATATATGCTAATTATGTGATTAAGATTGTTTTTTATTGTCATCTTGCTGTTGCTGCTAAATACTAAATTGCACACGAAGGACTTTTTTCAACTGGGGACCACACTCATAGTCTTGTATCCCAAGATTTTTATTTATTTATAATATTAATTTTCATTTATTTTTTAGTAATTCATCTTTAGAATTTCTTCTGAAAGTGTAATCCTTTTTTCTTGTCTTAATTGATAAATAGAGGGTGTAAAAGCAGGAGCTAAGGCAGCTGTTGTTGCTACCATTGCCACAGCCATTCCAACAGTAAGTTTTCAACCTCATTGTATATACGAAAAATTTACAATACTTCAGAAATATTGAATATTCCGTCATTTAAAGTGTTTAGATCTAGTCTAACAATTATCCAAAAGATTAAACAACCATTCAATTGAATCTGTGGGCACCAAGTGCCGGAGTACACAATATTCCGGAATATTGTAGCCTCTCCCTATATTACAAGGGCTCGCAGAAACTACTTTTTTGGGGTTTACATCTAATTTCTATACTTTATATGCAGCTGGCTAGTGTGAGGATGCTGCCTTGGGCAAGAGCCAATCTCAACCCCACTGCTCAGGCCCTCATAATCTCCACAGGTTTTCTTTAATCCTTGCCCTAATTCTCAACATCATAATCTTCTTTAAAAGCTATTAATTTCTTCCTAAATGTAATCATAATTAGTTTATATATTAAATTCAAATATTGTTAACTTGATGGCAGTGGCTGGAATGGCATACTTCATCGTGGCTGACAAGACTGTTTTGGCAACGGCAAGAAGGAACTCATTCAATCAAGTGGCTCACCATGAAGCATGAGTCCATCACTAACTAGGGTTTAAGTTCCTGTTGTCATATGGTTTGCTAGATGAACCCATCATCTTGAATATAAATAATAAATAGAGATGGGTTTTCAATCTTGTAGCATTTTATTTATGTACTAAATTTCGGGTTTTCAATCTTAATGAAATTGTGGATAGAAACTGAATTTAGATGGTATATTGTTAAAAGAGTAATGCTAAGAAAACTAAATTTTGGAAACTAAAGGATATGGAAGTTGATAATTGGTTTATTAGTTAAGCGTTGATGAACGTCCTCGCTTCTATGGGTGACACATTATTTAGTTTGCAATTTTAGTCTTTAAATTTAGTCTCCCTAGCATTACTTTTATTAAAATGTTTGAAGTTTTGGTGGTTAATTGTAACTTTATTTGTCAGGGTGGTAAATGAACATAAGCTAAAGAAAAAAATTATACTTCGTTTGTTCCAAACCAAGTGTAATAACATTCTAAAATTTATACAGTGGATCTGGCTCAAGACAACTGGTGTTCCCCACCAATGGACACCCGACACCTGGCTATCTTCTTTTTGTATTGCCCATGTTGGCACTTGAATTATTATCTTCCTAGTTAGTCCCTAACAATTTTTTTTCAGAAAATAATTATATAAAAAAAAAACATAAAAAGTTAAACAAAACCGTTGAACCCAGATTGTCGTCCCGAGTCTCCGACCTTCACCCCACCCCCACCCATCTCCGCTTCCCCTCGCCGTCACTATCTCTCTCTCTCTCTCTCTCTCTCTCCTTCTATCTCCTCGTCTTCCAATTTTTCATTGTACTCCTCCCTTACGCCGGAGAAAGATCCTAGAAATTGCCCGCGACCACCCTCACGTTTCCATCAGAGGTCAGCGACATCTAATTTGAAGGTCGGAGTGTCGTCGATCAGTCTCCAATAAAAAAATATCAGCTTTGACATTCTCCAGTGAAAAATATCAGCTTCGATTGAGGTGGGTGATTGTCTTGGCTAAGTTCTTGGCGGCGCTGGGTGGCTGGTGCTGAGGGTGATTATTCTCAATTTCTGTTAGGGTTTGGGGTAAATTAGAATTTTGATTAACCAAAAAATAAATGCTAGTTTGACATTTTCTTAATTCAAAACCTTGATAATTACTTGTCAAGCTTCTATTCGTTAGGAAACCAGCTCAACTGGGTTACCCGGTACCCGAAAAAATTTATCTTGCTGTAATAATTAAGACCCTTATTTGAAAAGAAAAATTAACGGAAAGTAAAAAAAAAAACTTTCTTTTTAATAAAAAAATCATTTTTAAATGTATAGTAAATAGTACCAGGAAAATGTATAAATGTGGTTTTTCTTTAAAAGTGAACAGTACCGTGTTTTGTTAAACTTCCCTATTTAAAATGGCCCTTGGTTTTCCAAATTAATGGCCTAAGCATATTTTTAAAAGGAGAAATTAGGTTCTCATCTTTCCTTTTGATATTCCATTGATTAAAATCCTATTCATTTTCAATTTTTTATCAAGGTCCTTGGGTATTAATAACATCATTAATTATTTCAATAATAAAATATTTTTTATTTCTAAATATATTCATTTAATGTTAAACATGTTACAATTAGTATATTTATATTTATGACTAAATTTTTTATCATATATTTTTAGTTTTAGTTTGTACCCATTTTTAATTTATAATTCTTTTTTAATTTGTACTAATTTACTTTTCAGTTTTAATTTGTACTCATATATTAATTTTTTTTTGTGCCCATATTTTTGAAAGTTTATTTGTATTTGTACACACACACACACACACACATATATATATATATATATATATTTTTTTTTTTTTGCTAAATGTACCCATGCTAATTATATGTATCCATTCATGTAAAACTTTTTAATCTTAAAATCTACTCATTCTTAAATATATCAATTTGTTATATGTAAAATGTACCCTTTTTTTATATAAAAAATATATTCAATTTTTTTAATCCATTTTTAAACTTATATGGGTACATTCTTTTTTCTTTGATTTTAAAATGTATCCATATCAAGTTTAATCGAAGAAATTTACTAATGTTATTAAGCCTAATATCCCTTTTTTTTTTTTTTTTTTTTTTGTGATTTTGAAAAATGTACCCATGTTTACACACACACACACAATAATATATTTATATTTTAATGTTTTTAATCCCACAAATTATGGGTTTTTATATTTAAAATCTCATTTATATAAACAACTAAAATTTCTAATTTTTAATTAAAAAAATATAGTAACGTACATAGAAATAAATTATCACATTGATTTCAGGGACCTCAATCAAAAATTAAAAACCAACAAGGTTTTAATCAAAGAATATTCATAACTAAGGATCGCATCCAAATTCTCCCCTTATAAAATGTACAAGTGGTTTTCAACAATTGACATTACATGGACAAGAAGCATCTCTAAAATGGTGGAAACGGTTGCCATCTCTTGCAATAATCTCCCTATTAAAAATCTTGGATGTCAGCTTTGTAGCTGAATGGCAATTTCGAGAAACACGAAGATTCTTTACGATTCGAATCGTTGTGCCTGCCTTCGTGCTGATCAAACCGAAAGCGATGGCCAACTTCTCACTGTGATGACTAAAAGCCACTTCCTTCCACTCCTAATCTATGTCGCAGAGCACCTCCGATGTATCTGGCACAAATCCAGCCGTATACAAACGCCTGTCGATTTCTTCCAGCATCTCGTAGATTTGTTTGCTTAAGGGGTGCGATTTGTCACTTACGAGAAACTCATGAACAACATTATCGACCTTAATAGAGGTAGAGCCAGGAACTTTCTTGATTCCCAAGTCATTCAGCCTGGACGTTCTTATTCTTTCCATATCATCCCACCTGCCAGCTCCTGCATAGGTATTTGATAGCAGAACATAAGACCTGGCATTTTCAGGCTCCAATTCGAACAGATGTTTGGCAACATATTCACGCAGCTCCACCCCCCTGTAGAGTCTACAAGCTCGAAGCAGAGAACCCCACACAGCACTATCTGGCTTCATTTCCATGCTCTTCATGAAGACCTTCATCAAATAACCCGGCTAGCCCTAGAAGATCTTTCATGCATCCATAGTTATGCAGTTCTGGTGAAATATGATAATCCGTGGTCATGGAGCTGAAGTATTGGCGTCCAAGGTTTACAAGACCACCATGGTTACAAGCAGATAAAACTCCCACAAATGTGGTAGCATTTGGTTTAAATCCTTCATCCTCCATTTTCGAGAAAATATCAAGGGTTGCATGCGCATCCCATTTTAAGAAGCCAAGCTTTGGCTTCCATACCATTGAAGACTTGCTTTGCTGCTTCGATGTTTCTGCATTTTGCATACATGCCGATAAGGCTCGTCCAGAGGGAGGTATTGGTAAAACTCTGGAAGTTCTTATCTATGTAAGCATGAATCCACTTGTCAAGATCAAGAGCTCCTAAATGATCACAAGTTGGAAGAATGACTAAGAATGTGACATCATTAGGCTCTGTACTTGATTGTAGCATCAACCGAAAGAGCATCAAGGCCTCTTTTGTAGTGGCTCTTATGTGTATAACCACAGATCATTACATTACTTGAAATTACATCCCTTTGCAGCAAACCATCAAATAAACCCCGAGCTATGTCGAATGCCCCACACTTTGAGTACATATTAATAAGTGCACTGACGAGGTGAAGATTTGAACCAAGTCCATAATCCTCAATCAAAGACGCAGCTCATTTGCCCTATTCGAGAGATTCCGATTGAGCGCAAGCAGAAAGCACCGTAACCATAATACTCTCATTGTGCGAGGTATTTGCTTTCAGCATCTCCACAAACAAAGCCAATGCCTCTTCAAACCGGCCACTTTGAGCGTAGCCCGAAATCATGGCGTTCCAAGCACCACGTCTCTCACAGGTAATCAAACGGAAAACGAGCATCATCCATAGAACCCCTTGATACATAGCCGCTGATTAGTGCCGTAAATGAAACAGCATCTCTCAGAAGACTTTTATAAACGTGCATTATCCATTTCAAGTCCAGAGGCATCGGAGCCAAGTCCAACCTTCAAAAAATGTCCATGGATCTGTTTCCCTTCATGGATTGGCTCGCCACATATTTTGCTCAAGACTTGAAAGGAAAAGGGAACGCATAAGAATTCAGCTCCGCTCCCGAAAGGATCATCCGCAGATAGAATTCCATGGCCTCTATCGGCTTGGAGCTCAAGAATGACCCCGAATAATCGTGTTCCAAATAACATGACTGGGGTTCTCGATGGATTCGAAGACTGAGAGGGCATAAGAGAGGTCACCAAAGAGCAAAACGGTGCTAAACTCGATGATCTTGCTCAGGGCAAAGTGTGTGATGTGGAGGCCGGTTTTGGTGGTGTGTGTGTGGACTTGTTTGAGGCTTTGGATGCTTTTGCATTTGGAGAGAAGGGTGAGAGATGGATGGGTTTGGCGGAGTTTGTACAGCAGATCAGCGGCGGAGAGGAAATGGAAATTGCAGGGTAGAATGGGCAACGATGAAGAGGAAAACTCCATGATTGAATAACTTGAATTTGCGTACACTGTGGAAAACAGGGGGATAAGGGTAGTGTGGCCGGTACAATTTGATATGCAGTTGGTTGGTTAGGTTACCCGCCAAAATTTACTACATTAGTCTTCTTAATAATATTGACTAATCTTGTTGTTTTTTTTTAATCATTTCGGTCATATTGGATTATTCTATTTAAGATGTTTAGTGGTGGTAAACTTAAGGACTATTTCACAGTTACAAAGAGTAGTTGCTTTCCCGTTAAGTTAATAACGTCATTGGTGAGTTCAACATAAGAAAATAGTTCATTATATGTTAAGTATGAGCCCCTTTTTTTTGTAGGCATGTAAGAAAATCTCCAACCGAGATGCCAAAATACCACGATGGATAAAAAACAACTTTTTTTTTTTTTTTTTTTTTTTTACAACAAAAGGACAAACCAAATGATACCATAGATTAAAGGAGGAGAGTTTAGCGTCAAACATTGGCGGCCACCAAGTATGATGCCAATTCCTTCTACAAATTGACTAATGGTGGGATCCACCATAAATATGGCTTCTTTTGTGTTTATATAACCATGAGCTTACGCTTTTCAATAAACAAGTTATAAATATTACAAATAAAAGTCATTTGTAATACGGTCTAGTAGTATTCA